TTTCTCAAATATAGTACAACATTAAAGCACAAGTAAAATATATATATATATTATATAATATGAGGGCCAACAGCCCGAAACGCGTCCGTGGTTAGCTTTTCTTGATTAATCAAGAATGGGTAATTGTACAATTCAAGAATAATTAGAAATCATCGAGAATAGTTAATATTCATTCCGATAGATGGCGCAAGCCATCAGCAACTTTCAGTTGCACGATAAGGAGATGCCTTTTTCATAAAATATTAAACTCGTCAAAATATTTAACTATCCAAAGTGTCTATTCTTAAAGAAATATGAATACCGGCCAGAAAACCTTTATCTTTAATAATTCTAAAACAGTATATTAGCATCTCTTTCATATAACTTGATTAGTTTTTATTTTTGCGAACTATAAAAGCCATAACCTTCATTTGATCACATCAAAAGAGTTGTGAATTGAGCTGTGTTGAAAATATTTATGGAGTCGTAGAGGAAGAGAAAGATCCTTTATTACCTAAAGGTATAAAACTATAAAAAAAAGGACAAAAGATCAAATTATATGTACATCAGCAGCTCACGCCGACCTGCCCTATTCAAATAACCGCTAGCCAACTAACAATCCAACAAGGCTGAGCTATATATACGGATGACAATTAGCATAGACAATACTAAAACACTATGCAAATCACAAGAGTATTCTATCGTAGAAATATTCCGGAATTGTAACTTTCAACAAGCTGAAATAAAACGATCACAAAAGCCTCTAATAATAATGATTGAATTGATTAAACATCAAAACTAGACGCCATCTATTGACCGTCACCGCAAACTAGCGACCTCGGGTCGGTGACAAAGCCACAACACCAGCTTTGGCAAATTGAGAAACGTCCACCTAGAGCGGACTTTATTCCATGAGATCCACACGGGATCTAATAGAATCTTCACAATCTGCCAAAGAGGTGTTCAGCTGGCAAAGTGACTGGGCCAAATCAGCGACGGTCAATAGATGGCGTCTAGTTTTGACGTTTTATTTGACGGGTAAATTAATCTCATTCTCATAAAATCCATGAGAAGTGTCTTTTTATGATTTTGTGTGAATGAAGAGAGAAATTTGATGAGTAACAAAATAGGTTCATAATAATTATCTATTTAAAAAGTACAAATATTTTCTCAAAATGAGTTTCTTTATAATTTTATATTGCAAGTTTTCAAACGATAATCGCTCTAAAACAGGCTTAACAAAACAATTGACTATTTCTTCTTTTTTACAAATTTTATCTTGAATCATGAATATTCTTCTATAGAGTATAGAAATAAGTATCATCATTCCCAATTAAAGAACTTAATATGTTTTTCTACAAACACTGAAAAATCCAAATAGTTCAAAATATTCTCCCTATAGAAAACAATACCATGAATAATAATAATAAAACATTGATGCATAAATAGAACAATACTTCTATAAACGCAAAAGTTAAAAAAAGAAATTAGATCATTTTAAAGAATATCATAAATCATCAAAATTTATTTAAAATAAATGGGAGAACAGATAGGCGGCACAATGTTAATTAATAATCTGTGAGCCAATTCTGAACTCGTTTCTCTCCCGTTGACCTACTTTTGGTACCATTACCGTTTGGTATGCTGCGCCAATAACATCAGACGGTGATTTTGTTAGCTTCTTTTGTAATCTTCTGACAAATCACATTAATCAAGATCCCCTGCTTGTCTTCTGACTAACAAATCATCGTTTGGATTAATATATCTTTTGGTTCTATAAAATGGTAACGATGACTACACGCTTGGTTGACCTCATTGTTTGTTCTTTTTTTTTTCTATGATTTGATTAATCTGTGTGGTTTTTATTTAAAAAATTGTGTATATGAGAATATCTTTTGATATTTATGGGTAAATAGTTTTTCTTTTTAAACATAATTTTGTTTATGAAATAAAAACATTCTTTTCAGCGATATATGCATATATAAGTTGAAGTTTTTGAATCGTCTGCTGATTTATGTAACTTGTATATAGTAATGGTTCATACGTTTCTACATTTTGACCTACAATACTTCTGAGTTGTTTGCTAATTTTTTATGCTTGCATAGTCGACATTTAAAAAATTTCTTCATGGAAATTATTCCTTAGTAACATTGATAAAGAAATAACTTTTATTTGTTTTAAAATGGTTTTTATAGCTTCAAAGTTTTATTTTATTATTTTTATAAAAAAGCTTTTTCAATAAACACAAGGTAATAAGTTCAAATACAAATAAATAAATAGTATATGACGTTTCGGTAACAGTGTTGTTACCATCTTCAAACAAAAGTATTGAATGAGAAATTTTACCACAGTATGCTTTGAATAGTTACTGTTATCAAGTGTGTAAACAAGATAGCAGAATATAGAAACAAGATAACAGTAATTATTTAAAACATGCTGTGGTAAAATATCTTAAGCAGTACTTTTGTCTTAAGATGGTAACAACGCTGTTACCGAAACGTCACACACTATTTATTTGGATTTGGTCTTATTACCTTGTGTTTATAATCTATAATCCAAATTGTGCCTTAAAAGGCTTTTTCGATATTTTTCATCTTTGTCCATTGAGACGGAATAAATAACTTAAGGAAGTTGAACCTTTTACCATGTATATCGGGATTCAGACAATAACTCTGAAAGATACACTCATGGACAAAACTTAAGGAAGTTGTACCTTTTACCATGTATATCGGGATTCAGACAATAACTCTGAAGGATACACTCATGGACAAAACTTAAGGAAGTTGTACCTTTCACCATGTATATCGGGATTCAGACAATAAATCTGAAAGATACACTCATGGACAAAACTTAAGGAAGTTGTACCTTTCACCATGATATCGGGATTCAGACAATAACTCTGAAAGATACACTTATGGACAAAACTTACGGAAGTTGTACCTTTCACCATGTATATCGGGATTCAGACAATAACTCTGAAAGATACACTCATGGACAAAACTTAAGGAAGTTGTACCTTTTACCATGTATAACGGGAATCAGACAATAACTCTGAAAGATACACTCATCGACAAAACTTAAGTAAGTTGTACCTTTTATCATGTATATCGGGATTCAGGCAATAATTATGAAAGATATTACAGTGACCTTTATTGAAGACGCACGAGATAACCAGGTGTGAACAAAATTGACTCTGTCTATTTCAAAGGTACAGAACAGGGGTTACATCGAAGACTTTTCACTTTCTTAAATTTTGTCCATGAGTGTACGTCAGGCAGTTCGCGATGTTTTCCAAGATACATGTGACGCTGAATGCATTGATACTTTAGGTTAGGTTTGTTTAGCTAGATTAGGTTAGGTTTGTTTAGCTAGATTAGGTTAGGTTTGTTTAGCTAGATTAGGTTAGTATTATTGATTAGCGCTCCATCTGTTATGAGAATTCAAAACTATTAGAGAGGCGTATGATTATTTTCAAAAATTAAACAATTTCTACTGCTTTTACTGCAATTAAAAATTAATGGGACGGCCTGGCTCATCAGTAGTGAACCCTTCCATTGATAAGCCAGGCCTTTCCATTAATTTTTCACTGCAGTAAGGGCAGTAGATATAATTGTTTAATTTTTAAAAGATTCATACGCGTCTATAATAGTTTCTAATTCTAATATGTTAGGTTAGGTTAGTTTCAACTAGTTTAGGTTAGGTTAAGTCAGACTAGGTTAGCTTCAGTTAGATTAGGTTAGGTTAAGTTAGGCTAGGTTAGCTTCAGTTAGATTAGGTTAGGTTAAGTTAGGCTAGACTAGCTTCAGTTAGATTAGGTAAGGTAAGTTAGGCTAGGTTAGTTTCAGCTAGATTAGGTTAGGTTAAGTTAGTCTAGGTTGGCTTCAGTTAGATTAGGTTAGGTTAAGTTAGGCTAGGTTAGTTTCAGTTAGATTAGGTGAGGTTAAGTTAGGCTAGGTTAGTTTCAGTTAGATTAGGTTAGGTTAAGTTAGGCTAGATTAGCTTCAGTTAGATTAGGTAAGGTAAGTTAGGCTAGGTTAGTTTCAGGTAGATTAGGTTAGGTTAAGTTAGTCTAGGTTGGCTTCAGTTAGATTAGGTTAGGTTAAGTTAGGCTAGGTTAGTTTCAGTTAGATTAGGTAAGGTAAGTTAGGCTAGGTTAGTTTCAGCTAGATTAGGTTAGGTTAAGTTAGTCTAGGTTGGCTTCAGTTAGATTAGGTTAGGTTAAGTTAGGCTAGGTTAGTTTCAGTTAGATTAGGTGAGGTTAAGTTAGGCTAGGTTAGTTTCAGTTAGATTAGGTTAGGTTAAGTTAGGCTAGATTAGCTTCAGTTAGATTAGGTAAGGTAAGTTAGGCTAGGTTAGTTTCAGGTAGATTAGGTTAAGTTAGGCTAGGTTAGTTTCAGTTAGATTAGGTTAGGTTAAGTTAGGCTAGATTAGCTTCAGTTAGATTAGGTAAGGTAAGTTAGGCTAGGTTAGTTTCAGGTAGATTAGGTTAGGTTAAGTTAGGCTAGGTTAGTTTCAGTTAGATTAGGTTAGGTTAGCTTCATTTAGATTAGGTTGGGTTAAGTTAGGCTAGATTAGCTTTAGTTAGGTTAGGTTAGCTTTAGTTAGATTAGGTTAGGTTAAGTTAGGTTAGGTTTTTTTTTAGCTAGATTAGGTTAGGTCAAGTTTGGTTAGGTTAGTTTCAGTTAGATTTGGTTAGTTTGAGTTAGGGTAGATAAGGTCACATATTATATTTTGTTTAATAAACAGAACTACTTTCCCGCGTAGGCCAATCAGGCGCCTATTTTCGTATCTGGTATCAATTTTGAGGGATGCTCTCCATAAGTCTTATATAAATGAATAATAACAATAATTAATAGAAAATATTGATAATTAGATAAGATATATCTCCTTAAAATAAATTTCGATTTTTCGTTCAAAAGAAACACATGCGGGATATTTTTAAATGTCGTTCTACAATCATGAGCCGCATTATATTGTATTATAAATTAACTTTATATAATATTTACGAACAGAAAAATATGTCCAGGGTAGCCTAGTGGACATGGCATCTGCCCAGTAAGCGGAACACTGTGGGTTCGATTCCCATCCCTAGTCTTTTATTTTTCCCGATTATCATTACTCTTCACAATTCATCCTTTCATCCATCACCACTAAGGTTAGAAATAATCGTTATTTCTCTTTAAAATAAATTTCGATTTTTCGTTCAAAAGAAACACATGCGGGATATTTTTTCAATGTTGTTCTACAATTATAAGCCGCATTATATTGTATTATAATATTTTACCATGGTATATAACATTTTATCAATATACTCACAGCATCCAAATATTCAACAATAGAGTAATTTAAAAATTCCAAAATGTTTATTTTTCGTATGTTAAAATACACGCTAGAACTAAATATGTTTCCAGACGTATACCATAATTTTTTGTTGTTTTCTTCCATAGACAAAAAAAAAACCTAAACATTAATTACCCTACCTAAAAATTTCATAAGAACAGAAAAGCATCGATTTATGAAAAGCTAATTTTTTGCCATTTTTGAAAAAGGTCTTTTTCATTTTCTTCGCTTAGAGAACAAAAATTAAATTAAGGAATCAATAACGAGTTGTCTTTTTCTTTTTCATAAATAAGCATTCTTTATAATAAATAGATTCTTTCCAATTTGATAATCTTTTTAAATATTTTATTATCATATTGAAGTATTCTTCTTTATGTATGGATTTTAATTATAATATATAATATGATGAATTGTTATTTCTTATAATTAATAATTTATTGGTAATCGTTATTATTTTGACGGATATTTGTTTACGCAGGAATAATTAATAATTTCTTTTGATATGAAATATATTTATTTTGCGTCGATAATAAATATAAATTCGTCGCTATCTGAAAGAAAAATGGTGGAAAAGTGAAATTGTACTGGGATTAAGTTGATAAATTAAGAAATTGGTATTTCCTGATTGGGCAATTGAAAGTTGCTGATGTTCTACGCCAGCTATCTGAAAAAATATCAACTAATCGTTGAATTTTTTTTATTATTCCATAATATTGGCCATTTGACTATTTCTTACATTTTTATAAATCATTCAAATGGAAAAATCACAACAATAAGGTTGTCCCAAATTTTGTGTCTTTTCTTAAAACGTTGTTTTTCATATTACTTGGCGAATAGTTTTGTCGCTGAGATAAAATAAAGCAAGGGGAAATTTAGGAATAATTAATTTAGTATAAAGGTGGGTATTTTCCTTTTAGTTCTCCAATAAAATTATTTACAAGAGGTATTTATAGGGAGAAAACTTATCCCAAGCTAAAAATAATTATATAAGTAATATATGGTCAGGATATGCTTACTTTGTTTTTTAATATCAACACCTGACCTTTTTATTTTTTATTTTTTCTATTGTTTTTTCATATTTATAATTATATTTATTTCTACTATCCTCAAAGCTTATGTCCATGGCTCATATAAATATACCTTTTCCAAGTGGTCAACGTCAGTATCGGTATAAAAGGAAAACCGAAAAATGCAATACAACAGCGGTATGGTAGATTAAAATGGTGAAACCGCTGAAGAGGGTTCTTCACTGATAAGCCAGGCCCTCCCATTAATTTTTCCATTGCAGTAAAGGCAGTAGAAATTGTTTAATTATTAAAAGAATCATACGCGTCTATAATAGTTTCGAATTCTCATATCCGAGAGAAGACTTTTTGCCTGTACCTGTAGAAGGGAATTTTATCAGAAAGCTTGTACGAACATCCTCTTATATAAAAAATCTCTTCTACCTGACCTTTGTTTCTTCTTCTGTGGCGAAAGGGAAGATTGTCGTTGCCTTAAAAATACTCCGTTGTTATTATATATCCTTGACTACATGCTCGCCCATCGATGAAATTAGCCTACGCCTATTCTCATAAATAAAAAAAAAATCGACTTCACGACAGTTCGACATCTGCATTGATAAATATGCCAGAATATCGTTTGATTACTTGCACTCGCTGGGGTTTGACTCTGGCAAGAATCGGGGGCCATTAGAACATTTATTATTGGATTGCTCTATTTTCAATATAAAATGTTCTAATGGCCTCCGATTCTTGCCAGAGTCAAACCCTAGCGAGTACAAGCAATCAAACGGGATTCTGGCATATTGACATATATGGCATCACTAGTAAAACGATGTTGGGTAAAGTGGAGATCGGTGGAAGTTTGTTCGAAAACTATTGGTTTTTGACCGCTACGACCCGGGATAGAATCACGAATTGGGCCTTTTTTTCTAATATAAAAGAAAATTAATTTAAAAGGCATATATTGAATCAAAATATCATTTATTTTACCAATATTTCAGTTGGCTGAACGCCACCCTTTATCAAGGTATTATAACAAACATTAATATGTTATAATACCTTGATAAAGGTTGGCGTTCAGCCAACAGATATTTATTTCTTGAAAATGAAGATACTTCGGCCAGTGAATCTTTTTATTACCTCGACGTTTCGACAAAAATCTTTTGTCCTCGTCAGGAGCAAACAAAAATTAAACATTCAGCAAGGCGTTAAAAATTGTTTAATTTTTGTTTGCTCCTGACGAGGACAAAAGATTTTTGTCGAAACGTCGAGGTAATAAAAAGATTCACTGGCCGAAGTATCTTCATTTTCAAGAAATATGAATGCCGGCCAGGCAGCCTCAATATTTACGATAACAGATATTTAGGTAAAATGAAGGATATTTTGATCCAATATATGCCTTTTCAATTAATTTTATTTTATATTAGAAATAAATCCCAATGTGGAATTCGATCCCGGGTCGTAGCGGTCAAAAACCAATGATTTTTAACATCATTTTTATTGATGATGAAGTATTATCCACAGATTTGTAAAATTCAGACAAAAACCAACCTATATGTCATAACGGATAATATGTCGACCTGTTTGTCGCATGTCGCACGACCCTAAAACCGGGTTATGAGGTGACAGTTTCTTAGGTAGCCGAATCCTTCAAGTGTCATTTGCGGTTCCCTTACATCACCAGGGTATATCAAGAATGATTAGAAATTTATATATATTTATTAGTAAAACACACACGCAAGAAAAATAATTTTGATAATCAACATCACCATCTATATTGTTGCACCAGGTTGCGAATTGGCAGACTCTTCAGCCTTGATTCTTTTCTCAGACATGTCTTGTATCTCTCAAGAACAAGTTTCAACCATCCTACCAATTTATATAACTTTACTTTAAGTAGAATCCGGAATAATTTATTTCTACAAGAAAGGTATTTACAAGTTTGTCAGATCGATCTATACAACCGAGTATAGCTATAAACTATTTACATATAAAATGCTGAGGTCACGTGACTGATGATGATAAGCCGAGTAGGCCACCACAGATTATTCTGTGACATTATACAACCTAGTTACTCTATGCAACCACTGAAATAAATAAACACAGCATTCTAATTGGCTTATTAATATCACGTGATAAAAGGAAACCAATCATCGAACTAATGAGGTTGATACCATAGAAACATAAAGACGTATATTACCACATGGAAAAATAGGAAAGACAAATTTCAAGATGACACAGCAATTTATTTAAGGCAAGAAAAAACTATGAATGATAAAGAAAGGCAATGGGGGAAGTTTACAGAGTAGAAAAATATAAATATCAAAAATGATATTTTGTTATTAAAATAATAAATACTTTGCTAAAATAGTATAAGACACTCAGGGGCAAACTTTAAGGAATTTGTGCCTTTTAGCATGTATATCGAGATTCAGACAATAACTCTGAAAGATATTTGATACACATTGACTCATATTGAAGATACACTAGATAACCAAGCAGCAGCTTTAAACACCCAAGATAGTGGACATTGTGACTGTTGTGATAGAGATGTGTGGAAACATCTGAGGCTCTTCATTGGACACGACAACAACAAAAAATTGACATAGACCCAGAACAGCGGATTTACACACCCAAGATATAGAACGATTGCTGTGATAGAGATGTATGGAGACAACTGAGGCTCTTCATTGGACACGAGAACAACAGACACTTGACATGGACCCAGAACAGCAACTTTACACACTCAAGATATAGACGGACTGCTGTGATAGAGATGTATGAGGACATCTAAGGCTCTTCATTGGACATGAAACAACAATAACAGAAATTTTACATGGATCCAGAACAGCAGTTTTACACACCCAAGATAGAGGATATTGCAACTGCTGTGATAAAGATGTATGGGGACATCTGAGGCTCTTCATTGGACACGACAACAACAGAAAATTGGCATGAACCCAGAACAGCAGCTTTACACATCCAATATAGTGGTCATTGCGACTGCTGTGATAGAGATGCATGGAGACATCTGAGGCTCTTCATTGGACACGACAACAACAACAACTAGATAACCAATTGTTAACAAATTTACTTCTATCTCCTTCGAAATAATAGACAACCATCAAACATAAAAGACTTCACACTTTCTTAATCTTTGTCTATGAGGTGTGTAGGTACTTCGAATTTTTCTTGAAAGTAAAAAAAAAATAAAAGAAGCATCAGCCTTTTCTTCATTATTACACCTTTCTAAGCTGATTGATAAGAATCCATTTGGACTAAGGGAAGTTGGGTGTAGTGAGGGGAATATGCCAAATGTATAATGATGATGATAAAGAGTTAAATCAGAAATCGAAGCTCTGTGTCGCCGGCCATCAATAATCTCAGAGATCGACTGCGGCAATTAATTCAAGGCGGAAGTTTTTAACTGCAATAAAATTACAAGCGTTCCTTAACAAAAGATTAATTGGCCCTCTCACCTTCAATAAACTTGGAAATTTGTTTATTAAGGTCGCAGCTGGCTGTTTGTTTCTTGTAGCTACGCTGATGGTCATAGTCTGATAATGCGGGGGCAATATAAGGAAGATATATAACAATATACTATTATAATTATTATTTATAATACAATATAATTCGGGCTATGATTGTAGAACGACATTTGAAAATTATCCCGCATGCGTTTCTTTTAAACGAAAAATCGAAATTTATTTTAAGGAGAAATAAAGATTATTTCTAACCTTAGGGATTAAGTATGAAAGGTTGAATTATGAAGAGTAATGATAAACGGAAAAATAAAAGTGTCCAGGGATGGGAATCGAACCCACAGTGCTCCGCTAACCTGGCAGACACCATGGTCCACTAGGCTACCCTGGACATATTTCTCCGTTCGTAAATATTATATAAAGTAATTTTTAATACAATATAATTCGGCCTATGGTTGTAGAACGACATTTGAAAATTATCCCGCATGTGTTTCTTTTGAATGAAATTTATTTTAAGGAGAAATAACGATTATTTCTAACCTTGGGGATGAAGTATGAATGAATTAATTGTGAAGAGTAATGATAAACGGAAAAATAAAAACGTCCAGGTATGGGAATCGAACCCACAGTATTCTGCTTACCGGGCAGATGCCATGTCCACTAGGCTACCTTGGACATATTTCTCCGTTCGTAAATACTATATATGTATTCATTATTATATATTAACCCATGAGTAAGTTTACACCAGGTAATGTGTGTGAGAGAGAGAGAGAAGGTTGGAAGCAATAATATTTTATACTATAGTGTTTTGTGGTTGTTGTATAGGTCATGCTGCAGCATGTGCTCTATACAGTCATGTGCTAGAGTTGGAACATTTTGACCAGACAACTCCATCTATGAATTATAATAAATAAATTTATTTATTAATATGTTATAATACCTTGAAAAAGGTTGGCGTTCAGCCAATAAAAATATTGGCAAAATAAATTATATTTTGATCAAATATATGACTCGAGACACCTACTGCTGGAATGCCTACTCTTCTTCACCGCTATACAACAGACAATAAATAATGTTTTAGATCTATATCAATTTGTAAATAGCAGAGATATTTATCATAGATTTAACTATTTTTGTAAATATATTTGCGATTTTAATCTTTCTAACCTGAAAGGTTCAGGTTCCTAATATATATTATTGTTTCTCTTTTATATTTTTGATTACTTTTTCTTTTATAATTTGTTTATAACTGTTTCTGTTTAAAAAAATGTAAATCAACGCATTTATCCCTAGCCGGGATATCGCGTTTTGTGTGTTGAAATAAATGAAATATATGTATTTTTAATAAAAAATCTAACAATGTTGGTGAGTTATTCTAACAATTTCTGATTGATGGTCAGTAGTAGGTCAGTCATATAATACCTGCTATAGTAGGTTAGTAACAATGCGAAAATATAATGCAAGGAAGAGATCTAACAATACTGGTGCGTTATTTTAACAATGGATGATTGTTAGTCAGTAGTAGGTCTTATATAATGCCTGCTATAGCAGGTCAGTAACAATGTAAAAAAAATATATAATATAAGTCTAACAATGCTGGTAAGTTTCTCTCTCTCTCTCTCTCTCTCTCTCTAACAATGTCTAATTTTTGGTCAGTAGTAGGTCAGTGATATAATGCCTGCTATAGTAGGTCAGTAACAATGCGGAAAAATATTGTCGCGGAGATAAATAAAGCAAGGGCAAGTTTGGGGATAATTAATTTATTATAAGGAGTATAGGGAGAGAGAGTTTTGTACAACTTACCCCCAGTTAAGGTTAATCCTGAATGAACGGCGTTAGCCACCGTCCCGTTTTCCTTATCTACAGATCAGCCTCCCAGCAGCCCCCACACCGGTGGTCCCCCCCGGGGTCCAGGGATGATTGACAGTTGTCCCATCTGGATGGAGCTACTTGACATTACACCCTCTTTAGAAAAAGCAGCGACCCGCTGATTAGCTTGTCTCAGCCCTTGTTCTGGAAGGAAATCTATCACAGCCTGTGTTCCCTAGCAGAATGGAATGTTGTTCTTCAGGGTCCAGGTAGGGCTTCATCCGAATGACATGAACGATATCCTTGGATTTCCGTGATCGGGGAGACGGGTCCACGGGCTCTACTTCATACGTAACTTCTGAAAGCTTCTTGGTCACCTTGTAGGGACCGAAGTATCTCTTCAGTAGCTTTTCTGAGAGCCCTACTTTTCGGATGGGAGTAAAAACCCACACAAGATCATCCTTCTGGTAATAGACTGGAGTATGTTTCTGGTCGTAAAGTCTACGGTCTTTCGACTGTGATTGTAGAAGGCGTGATCGGGAGAGTTGACGCGCTTCCTCAGCTCTGGTCACAAGTTCCCCAACGTAGTCGTCAGAGATCTCATCTGGTAGGTAGGGTAGTACGGCATCGATGTAGGTCTCGGCCTCGCGGGCGTGGACAAGAAAGAACGGAGTGTAGCCGGTGGCCTCCTGTTTAGCAGTGTTGTAAGCAAAAGTCACGTAGGGTAAAACTTGGTCCCAGTCCTTCTGCTCGACACCTGTGTACATGGACAACATGTCTCCCAGAGTTTTGTTGAACCTTTCAGTCAGGCCGTTGGTCTGGGGATGGTAGGCCGTTGTAAATCTGTGCACAATTCCGCACAGAGCATTGATCTCTTTTATTACTTGAGAAATTAAATTTCTTCCGCGATCTGTTATCATTTCTCTAGGAGCTCCATGCTTCAAGATAACATCTTCAACCAGGAACTTAGCTGTTTCGATTGCTCCTCCGTCTGGGATCGCTTTCGTTATGGCATACGTTGTCATATAATCGGTGCACACAATGATCCAACGGTTTCCATCTTTAGAAACTGGAAATCTTCCAAGGAGATCGACCCCGACCTTATAGAATGGCTTTTCTACGGGCGGTATGGATACAAGTTGTCCAGCCGGACGTCGAGGTAATTTCTTCCTTCGTTGACACTCCCGACAATGGCTTACATATTGGCGAACAGTTCTATAAAGGCCAGGCCAATAGAATCGTTTCTTGACTTTGTCATACGTTCGGGCGAAACCCAAATGCCCAGCTGTAGGAGCGTTATGTAAATCTGCCATAACTTCCGATCTTAAGTGCTTAGGGATCATCATAAGCCAGGGTCTTCCAGTTGTGCTATAGTTTTTCTTGTATAAGATGCCGTCGATAATGCTGAATTCCTTTCTGGTGTAGCCCGAGTTTAAATTATCGATTATTTTAGCTAAATCCGGGTCTTTAGTCTGCTCTATATCGACGTTGGTTAGTGACATCACAGCACTTGGTGGATCGTTCTCAAGCGGGCTCCTTGACAGACAATCGGCATCCTTATGTTTGCGTCCGCTCTTGTAGATAACGGTCACGTCAAATTCTTGTAACTTCAGCGCCCATCTTGCCAAACGGCCAGAAGGATCTTTCTGCCCTACCAACCAACATAGAGAATGATGGTCAGTGACAACCGTGAAGCTCCAATACCATGTCCGCTTGCATCCGTGTGTAGATGGGTATCAGCGGATTCATCAAAGTGTCCTAAGACAGGCTCTGAAATTAGAGCTGTTTTAAGGACTTCAAACGCTTTCTCTTGAGCTGCATCCCAATAAAATTGTTTTTCAGTCTTCAGTAGGTCATGCAAAGATCTAGCTTTGTCGGCAAAGTTCTCAATAAATCTTCGGTAATAGTAACATAATCCAAGAAAGCTCCTCAGTTCAGAGATATTCCTTGGCCTCGGAAATTTAGAGACGGCTTCAACTTTATCTGGATCTGGATGAATTCCATTGGCGTCAACAAGGTGTCCCAAAATCTTTATCCTCCTTGATCCAAAAAGACACTTTTTGTGGTTCAAGCTTAGTCCAGCTTTCTGGATGCAGCTTAATACAAGTTGTAGACGACGTAGATGTTCTTCAAAGGTAGGTGCGTAAACTACGATGTCGTCCAGGTAGCAAAGGCACATCTTCCATTTACGACTGCCCAGAACACTATCTATCATCCTTTCAAACGTTGCTGGAGCATTGCAAAGACCGAAAGGCATTACTTGGAATTCATACAGCCCATCTGGAGTGATGAAAGCAGTTTTCTCCCTGTCTTTTTCGTCCACTTCAATCTGCCAATACCCGGACCGAAGATCCATCGTGGAGAAGTAACTAGAGCCGGCTAAACTGTCCAAGGCATCGTCAATGCGTGGCAGCGGGTGAACATCTTTTTTTGTTATCTTATTTAATCGACGGTAATCTACGCAGAATCTCCAGGTCCCGTCTTTCTTTCGAACTAGAATAACTGGAGATGACCAAGGACTTTCAGAGGGCTTCACGATGTGATTTTCAATCATCTTGTTCACTTCATCTTGAATTAGTCGTCGTTCACTTGGTGCTACTCTATAGGGCCTGTGTTTATCTTGTGCTTCACAGTACTGGTGGGCTTAATAGGAGTACTCCCAAAGTCAAATATGTCAATAAACTCGTCAAGTCATGAAACAAGCTGTAACCTTTGAATTTCAGACAGCCCTGGATCTAGAGTAAGGTTTATCTTCTGTGACCATTCACGTGACTTTAGCTGCGTTTCTTGTAACTTATCGCTGGATTCAATAAGACTGCAGATATTCCCATTCTCATAACTTTCCATGGTGCACATATTCATTCCTGATGGAATCAGTTGCGGCCAAGACGCTCCATTCGCCACCCAAATGCTACCTCGGCCGTGTCGAAATGTAACCAATGAGTTTGGTATAAGAACTTCCTTTCTTAATAATAAGTCCTTAGAAGTTGAGACTAAAACATCTCTAACACCGCATACTTCTTCGTTTATCACACTGATCTTCTTTATTGATTTAGGCGGGATGACAAAGTCGTCGGAAGCAAACAATCTCTGGTTTTCCTCCTCTCGAAATTCCAGGACGGAGGTTTCCCTGAGATGGAGTTCATTTCTGCCACAATCAATGACGGCTTCGGTGGCCTTGAAGAAGTCCCATCCGAATATGATGTCATGGCTGCATTCCACCATAACAACGAATTCAAAGGATATCTTCAGACCATTAACTTCTATGTTCAGGACACATTTTCCTAGGGTCTCTATTAAATTTTTATTTGCGGCTTTAAGGATGGGACCTGGTTCTTTGAAGAGAGGTGTCTTTAGTTCGCGTCGAAATTTGTCTGAAATAACAGAAAAGTCGGCTCCTGAATCCACCAATGCTTTAATTTTGCGTCCATTTATTTCGACCATAACAAAATTTTCTTTTAATTTAGCGGCGATATACCCTGGAGGATTTTCCTCAATGGCGACCTCACCCCCGTTAGAAGCCGCTTCACTTAGTTTTTCACATTCTGAGGCATGGGAGAACGGCTGAAACGACGGGCTGGC